AAAATTTTAGAATTGTCGATGTCCCAATATTTATGGACCTGACTGTATATTCTAATGGTGGGCATACCACCCACTTTTTTCTGGCAGAGATTACTTCTTTTTTTTTTTTTTTTTTTTTTCATTCAGCCCACAGGCTTCATACATAAAAAAAAAAAAAAAAACATAGCATATATTCCCAACAAGGACCAGCGACATACTGGTACATCACTGGACTTTGAATGGTTATACCAGGATGATGCCTACAGCTGCAGGCATCATCCTGGTATTGTTTTTTTCAGCTGGCGATCGGCTTTCATTTAAAAGCAATCCTAGTGGCTTATTAACTGCAGGATTGCTTTTGCAAGCAGCGGGATATGATGCCCCCCTCCTCCGCTGCCTTTCACGACCTTCTCGGGCAGTCCCGTGGCATCAGGGGAACCTGAGAATGCAGCCGGTGTTTCTTCCAGTTGACCATAGAGCTGATTGGAGACCAGAGTGGTGCCAATCATCTCTATAGCCTAAGAATTCTGAAGCTACGAGCATTTCATCACTTCAGTTTCGCAGGATATAAACAGCGCCATTTGTAAATTGGGAAAGCATCTGATCACACTGATCCTGTTGAGATTAGATAATGTAAGGGCAGAGGAGATATCTAGAGTCTGATAGACCCCAGATTTCTCAAAGAATATATGACAATGCCCATTGAAGTTATAGGGGATATTTGCATTCCCTGTGATAGCATTAAAAGTGATAAAAACAAAAATGAAAGGGAGAGTGTAAAAAATAATTTAAAAAATCCCAATAACTTTAAAAAAAAGTGTGTGTGCGCGAGCACTGACCCTGTGCCTGTATGTAAACAGCAGTTTCACCACGCATGTGAGGTATCGCTGCGAATGTCAGATCAAGGGCAGTTATTCTAACACTAGACCTCCTCTGTAAATCTAAAATGGTAGCTTGTAAAGGCTTTTAAAGCGTTGCCTATGGATATTAAAAAATGTATGCCTTTTGTCACCATTGCACGGTGCATGCGCAGTTTTAAAGCATGTAATGTTTGGTATCTATTTACTCTGCATACCATTATCTTTTATAGTTTACAAAATAATTGGCCAATACATTTTGTTTTTGTGCATTAAAAGTAAAAAAAGTACTTTTTTTTTTTTCAACAAATTTGCGTTTGAAAAATCACTGTGCGAGTACTATGTTACATAAAAAATTGCAGCACCCACCATTTTATTCACTAGGGTATTTGCTTTAAAAATATATATAATGTTTGGGGGTTCAGACATTTCTTAGCAAAAATTACAGATTTTTTTTCATGTGAACAAAAAGTGTCAGAAAAGGCTTGGTCTTCAGGTGGTTAGAAGAGTGAATGATGCATGGCATAAACTTCTAATGCTGGGCATAAAACGCCCCCACCCCCCAAAACGACCCCTTTTTGGAAATTGGACACCCCAAATTATTTGCTGAGAGGCATGTTGAGTCAATAAAATTTTATTTTTTTACCACAAGTTTTTGGAAAATGACTAAAAAAAAACATTTTTTTCTCTTTTTACACAAAATTGTCACTTAAATGATGCATTTCTCACACATGCCATGGGTATATGTGGAATTACTCCTCCATATACATTCTGCTACTTCTTACGAGTATGGAGGTGCCACATGTGAGAGTCTTTCTGGCAGTCTAGCAAAGTACAGGACCCCAAAATCCAGTAAGCTCCTTCAGGCTTTTAAAGGGCTTTATTTCCTCATTACACTTCCTGACTACCTATCACCTGTTTTGGAGGCCCTGAATAGCACCCCCCCCCCCCATGACCCTTTTTTGGAAAGTAGACACCCCAAGGAATTTGATAAGAAGCATGATGTGTATTTTGCAGATCTCGTTTGTTGCCACAGGTTTTTGGAAAATGAAGAAAGAAAACATTGTTTATTTTTTTTATGTTTCAAAGCCTTGTGAGAAAAAAGTAATTTGAAAAATGCTTATCATGCCTCCTTTTAAATTCCTTGGGCGGTCTACTTTCCAGAAAGGGGTCATTTGGGGGGGTTGTTGGTGCTGTCCTGGTATTTCAGGGCCTCTGAAACTGTGATAGGTAGTGAGGAAGTAAAATGAGGAAGTTACGCACCTTCAGGCTTTCAAAGTGGTCATTGGATTTCAGGCTCCTGTATGTGGCTAGGCTCCAAAAAAGTCTCACACGTGGTATCCCCATACTTTGTAGAAGTCGCAGAATGTATTTTGGGGTGTAATTCCACATATACCCCCTTGGCTTGTGTGAGAAATATATAATTTAAATGACAAGTTTGTGTTAAAAAAAAAAAAGCAAGTTTTTGGAAAATTACAAAAACTTTTCAAGATGTGGTTGCTGCATTGGTTTTATTTTATCAAGCTAAGCAAAGAAAATACCCAGTGCCTTTTTTTTTTTCTTGCTTGTGAGCTGACCTAAAAACATAAAACTATCTGCTAATTCCGTTATCCACATATAATGGGGATATTCAAAGGTAGACCTGTTTTTAAGTCTAGTCTGGCTGACCTACAGGAGAAGTACAGCCAAAAGAGCTTTGGCTGTACATCTCATTTAAGGACTGTTAAGTTGCAGTATACAGTGGTACCTCGGTTTATGAATGCCTCAGTTAACGTAATTTTCAGTTTACGAATGGAAATTCATTGAAAATAATGCCTCGGTTTACAAATTTTTTTGCTAATTTTTTTTTCACAATACGAAGTGTACGTCAGTGCTGATTTTTAAATGCAATTGCCAGCTTTTTTTTTTTTCTTCACTACAGCTCACAGGATTAGCTGTCATTTTCCCTGGAGTTAAAGTAAACTTTGTTTCTTTTAAGAAACTAAAAGGAAATATTGTTTCTTTTAACTTGGGGAAATAAACTAAAAAAACCCTCTCTTTTAGCTGGGGGGGAAGTGACAGCTGAATTTCTGAGCTATATAGTGAAGAAGAAAAAAAAGTGGTAATTACATTTAAAAACCGGCACCATATAATAAATAAAGGGTGTGGGGTCCCGCCTCCCATCCATACGAAGCCCTTCGGGTCTGGTATAGATATTAAGGGGAAATCCCATGCCAGAATAAAAAAGAAAAAAAAAAAATGCCCCCCCCAAAATCCATACCAGATCCTTACCCGAGCATGCAGCCCGGCAGGTCAGGAAAGGGGGACGAGCCGAGCATTCCATCCCCCCCCCTGAACCATACCAGGCCACATGTCCTCAACATGGATGGGGGTGCTTTGTGGGCAGGGGTGGCACCTGGCTGGTGGTTGTGGGGGTCTGAGGCAGGGGGCTTATCGGCTCCCCCCCCCCCCCCATGTGAATGAGTATGGGGTACATGCACCCAATACTTATTCACAAACTAAAAGTGTAGTGTGAAAGAAGACAGGACACAATCTTTGACAAGTCCTTTATTAAAAGAAAAAACTAAAAGAATGTCCCCCGCAGTAAATCAACGTCAATCACGATATCCATTGCCTACCCGAAAAAAAAAAGAGGTTTTGTTCCCGACGATGGCTACCAGCCTTTTGCCTGCTCTGGTGGTTTGACCATTCCTAAATAGGTCAGGGGAAGGGCCACCCGGGGATGTCACGCATGTGACCCCACCATGGATGTCACATGGGGCATGGTCACTCGGGTGATGTCCGTGGGTGGCCCCGCTCCTTACAATTGCCATAAATTCTTTTACATTCAGCTGTGATTGTGGGGAACCCCGCTTACAGCTGAAACATTAACACATGATTGTCACTACTAAAATACTGCATGACTTGCTAAAATAACTCATGCGGTATTTTAGTAGCATTTAGTTTTTTCTGACCTCCGGAACGGATTAATTGGTTTTCAATGCATTCCTATGGGAAACAGCGTTTCGGTTTAGTAATTTTTCGCTTTACAAAAAGTCCTGCAAAATGAATTAAATTCGTAAACCGAGGTATTACTGTATTACGTTTTTGAGTTTAGTTTTAACTGCTTCAAAATTACTTGCCCTTGTCGTCCTGCCTCACGCACATTCCTGTTTGTTAGTGAGGCAGCCCATGGTCACTTTATTTATACCTATAAAAAAAAATCCGGTATCTGTTTATTTTTACTAAGGTTTTTAGGTATATTACATTTGTATTACAGATGGCCCTATTTTGCAGGAAAAAACTATTTCAAATTCAAATGTAAAAAGACAATATTAAATGTTAAACTGATGCAGTGTTGAAAAGTAGAAATTACTGTGTTCCTTTAAATTTAAAGAATTAAAAGTTGTAATATTTATGCTTTTTTTTTTATTACTTTAAAACATCATAGAACAAATTTGAATTGCTTTAAAATTTGACGTGCGTGTAAACCTAGTGTTCTCAGCTGCACACTGATCTGGTTTTCTTCTTTTTTTGCATTAAAAAGAAAAAGCAGAAGAAAAACACATGACCATTTAATTCTATGGAACTCTTCACATTGGTCAGCTGCAGCTCTGTGCACCAGCAGTTGCATTTTTTTTTTTTTTTTTTTTTTTTTTTTTGGGGTTATTTTTTTAGTCGTTTTGTTTTGTTTTTTTTTGTTTTTCACGGCTGCAAAAGGCATTGGAAACTCATCAAAAACGCTGTTGCTTTTTTACCATTTAGAATTGTGAAAGTAGCCTAAGATGTTTGTTTTTTTGAAGAGTCCCCTTTCTTGGATACATTTTGCTGTTTCCAAAAATATAAGCACCTACATCTGAGATAACAGCTGCTACAACATCTGCTGTATTTGTTAGCATTTTTGTAGAGCCCTGGTATTTTCCTATAATGTTGATTAATATCTGAAGCACTATTTACTTGAGCTGTGCTGTTAGATTTTGATAGCGTAGATCCTTCCATATTTGTTTACGAATTTAAGATAGCTGTTGAAAAACAAATACTGACTGTCGGTTGAAGTAATGCAAACCTGTGGCAGTATGACTATTTAAAGTTCTTCTAGGTGTAAGACAAATGTTATATATGTTAACAATAATTGTGAAATATTTAAGTGAATAAATTCAATTTGTTTTTCCAATTTCTTTACAGCAACGGTGGCCTCTACATATTATAATTACTACATGCTACCTGATGGAACTTACTGTCTTGCACCTCCTCCTCCGGGAATGGATGCCAGTGCATGTTATAGTTCAGTACCTGCAGGGGAAAATGCACAGAGTACAAAAGAAGCTGCTCTATCTGTTCCACAAGCCACCATCTTGCCATCTGTAAACAGCATTGACAGCAGCAACACCTTAACTGCTGGTTTAAGTGCCACAAGGTAAAGATATATTTTATAGTCAAATCACTTCTATGGAATTTTGCAAACGTTGAGAGCTGTAATGCTTTCTTCTGCTAAATGTTTGTTTCTGTCCATCATCCAGTGAGATGCAATAATTCAGTAACAGTGGAATTATTATTCTGCCTATAGAGTATTTTGACATTGTCCAATAGAAAGGTTGAAAGCCAGCCCATTGTAACACCTCTTTTACCCTGCTAGCCATAGTTTTTTGCTAGTGCTTAAGGAGGCTAACCGCCTTTTATTTATCTCTGTTGAGCAAATTTGAATGTGTGTAGTTCAAAGTTAATCATTGGCGTTTTTCTACAGGCCACTGGAATGTGAATGAGGAGGTGGAGACTCCGCTCCTCGCACAGATGGAAAGGGCTGCAGGGACTGGGACAGTCATGGGGGATTTTAATTACCCTGATAATAATTGGAGTAGTGGCACTGCTGGAATAGTTAAAGAGCAAAAATCTATAAGCCTATTACAAGACAATTTTATGGTACAGTTCCTAAAGGCCCCAACTAGGAATGATGCTCTGCTGGACCTGGTAATCTCAAACTGTGCAGAGTTTATTACTAATGTTCATATAAAAGAACATCTGTATAGCAGTGACCATAAAATGGTTTCATTTATTATAAGCTGTAAACAACAAACACATACTGGAAAAATAAAGACCTAACTTTAATGCGCAAATTTTTCAAAGCATGTGGGCAGCTCTTCAAGACTTAGACTGGAAGGGAATATTGGCATCCATGAACACAGAACAGAGAAATGGTAATTCTTCAAAGACTGTGAACACGCTGCAACTTATATTCCCATGGGCAATAGGTTTTTTTTTTTTTAAAAATAAAAACCTTTGTGGCTCACTTCCAAATTTTAAAAAGGCTATAAAAAGAAAAGCTTTTTAAAAAATATAAAAAAGAAGGAAAACTATCATCGTTTTAAATGTTACAAAGAATATAACAGAATATGTAAAAAGAAATCAAGGATGCAGAAATTCAAAACCAGCAACAGATTACAAAAGAAAGTAGAACAAACGCCAAAAAAATCTTTAAATATATTAACTGTGAAAAGGTTAGGTCCGAGCATGTAGGCCCTTTACAAAATCTAGACTGGGTGACTGGGGACAAAGAGAAGGCAAATTTATTAAATACCTTCTTCAGCTCTGTATACAAAGGAGCACGGGGAAGTTCTTGTCCACAATGGGGATGATATTGACATAGCCCCAAATGAACCACTGTGGCTCAAAATTGATATGGTCGAGAAATATTTAGACAGAATAAAGGTGAACCGGAGTACTGGACAGGATGGCATACACCCACTGTCCTAAAAAAATTGAGTGCTTTCATTTCAAAGCCATTATTTCTCATTTTTAATGACTCTTTAATAACTGGCATAGTACCACTGGATTGGCGTAAGACCAATGTGGTGCCAATATTTAAAAAGGATCAAAGTCTTTACCAAATAACTATAGACCAGTTAGTTTAACTTCTATAATTTGGAAGATACTGGAGAGTATAAAGTGATTCTAAAGGCTTATTTTTTTATTTTGCTTAAATAACAAACATGTCCTCCGTTTTCCGCTCAATCTTCAAAAACAAAACAATATATTTTTTACAAATCTCAACCATAAAGCAATCTAAGATATCACACATTCGAATACAGGGTTTGGACAAAATGATGGAAACCGTACCGGATTTGCAGGTGTGAAAGTGACATCTTGTTTCACATTGAAAACATAAGTCTTGTAACATTCTTTTGCTTCCGTTGTGTGATGAGACACCTACCTGACAGGTGGTAAGCCTCACTTTCGTCATTCACTCCATAAGCAAAACATTCACAAGTGAGCTGCAATTGCCAAACCACTAGTGTCTGATATTCATGTTCAGAAGAGGAGAGAGTGGGGCAACACCCATAAATCGTGGACTATCGATCAATAGAAGACTGTAATATGGTCCGATGAATCGAGCTTTGACATGTTTGTGTGGCAAGCACTATCCCAAGCTTATGACCAGGACTGTCTTGTGCCAACGGTAAAGTATGGTGACGGCGCAATCATAGTTTGGGCAGCCATATATGCAGGCCCCATCATCACCTTGAAAGGTAGTTGCTATCAGCGACTGTACACATTTTGGCTGACCATATGCACCCCATGGTGCAGACACATTTTTTTTCCCCCAAAGACAGCACTATTTAATAAGATGATAATGCTCCAATTTACACAGCTGGCATAATCAAATTTTAGTTTGAGACGAGTATGCAGATTAAATCTCTCACTTTTGCTGGGTGCCGCAGTTGCCGGACCTCAATATCATAGAGCCACTAGCGTCAATTTTGGGAACAAGGTTCGGGCTCGTTTTCTGCCCGTGGCATCTCTACGAGAACTGGAACAATTTTTGCATAAAGGAGTATCAGATTTTGTTATCCACCATTCTAGACTTATATTTGTCAATTCCCAGGAGAATTCAGTAGAATGCAGTAAGATGGGTAATAAACTTTCTGCCTTTAAAAACCTCTTTAAGTAATTGGATTTTTTTTTCTTTCTCTCTGTGAAATGTATGAAAGATGGGCAGTTGGGAATTTAAAGGCGTGCGTGTGTGTATAATTGTCTACTGTCTGCTGTTTTTTTTTTTCCAGCACACTTGCTCCAGTCGTGGCTATTATTCCTCCACCTCCTGACATCCAGCCTGTAATTGATAAGCTTGCTCAGTATGTGGCACGGAATGGAATTAAATTTGAGACTAGTGTCCAAGCAAAGAATGATTCAAGGTTAGTGCCTTCTAAGTGTTAACATGTTTTCATCTCTGCATGGAACATATGTGGAGAACTTTACAAATGTGTTGCTACAATTGTGTTGCTTGTAAAAGTCTTGATTAGGATTTTAAAGTGTTACTAAACCCACAACAGTAAAATCAGTCTGTATTTGCAGTAAAGCATGCTTGTCATAAGGGGTTAATCTGCGTTATATAAAAAGTCTGTTTGATCCTGCCTCCTCTGATCACCCTCTTCTACTGTTCCCAATCCATCTGCTAAAAGTACAGAGCCCTAGGAGGCACTTTGCACATGCTCAGTTCGGTGTATATTGCTAGAGGGTTTTTTTTATTTTTTATTTTGAGAGGTTGCATGTGCTCGGCACATGGCCAATCAGCACTAGCCAGACAGAGAGGGCCAGGGGTCATGCAACCTCATAGGACAGTCCGAGGAGAATGAAAACTCCTACAAGCTTTAGCCAGTGCTCTACTGGACACTGATAGAAAGTCACAAGACTACTATATACTGCTGATGAGAAAAGGTATTTAGCAGTTTATATTTACTAAAATAATTGCATTTCCATGTTCTGTGTACTGCGGGAGACCAGATATAGTAAATGCAGGGTCCTGGGTTTAATAACACTTGAACACTTCAAACTTGCTTTTAACATTTAGTTATTTTTGCTTCTTATGGTTTTTTCACTTTTTCTTGATAGGTTTGAGTTTCTACAGCCCTGGCACCAGTATAATCCATACTATGAATTTAAGAAGCAGTTTTTCATGCAAAAAGAAGGAATTCTTCTTTCTCAGGTAATGCTTGTTATTGTACATACATTAATATGAACTTTTTTTTTTAATTTATTACCCTAAAGCAGTGGTGATAAACTTAGAAATTTTATAGAGGGCCTTACGTGCATTCCTTACGAGTCCAGAGGGTGGTGCTGCACAGTAATAACATGAACATTTTCTGTCTTTTTTTTTTTTTTTTTTTTTTTTTTGTGCAGCTGTTTGTTGTATTCACACACACAATGCACCACATCATAGATCATGTATTGTGTACAGTGGTGCATTGCAGCCTTTCTGGAGGTGCTGTTCGCTGCATGTCCAAGCCAGCATTTGCAAATAGTTGACAGCAGCTCCTGATGTGCTGACTGTTGATGGATTTCATTAAGTGCAGAAATGGACACCACTGTGTACTGTCAAACAGGCTCTTCTGGTGCAGGGATGCAGCTGGCATATCAAGGGCTGCTGTCAGATATTTTTGAAGGATTCAACGGGCTCAAATAAGTGGCCAGCACATCATAAGCAACCTGGTGCCTAATAAGTGACAGGCTCAGCTCAGAACATACTGGGGTGAACGCAAAAGGCTGTCAGGCGACTTGTGGGCTACATGTGAACACCAGGGCCTTAAAGTTTGTGTGTAAGCCGATTTATAATTAAGACTCCAGTTTAACCTGGTTTGTAGTTTTAAAGTACTTAAATATATTTTTAAATAGTACCTCAATTTGTGCTGCACTGATATAGTCCCAACATATGTTTCTGGCTGGGAGAGGAAAGGAAGAGATGTAAGGTAATAAGCTCATGTAGATGGGAATTTTTTAGTAGTTGATGTGCGCTTAAAGTTAGAACCCCATTTACATTGGTTATGTAATGTGGAAGATTGTACTGAGGTTTTTTGAACCTCTTTACTTTGCATGGTATTTCTTTGAATGCAGAAAGTGAAAAAAGGATTACTTTTCTGGCAAAGCCGATAAAATGCAGCTTTTGCTGTGTTTTGTACCTGTGAGTTGAAGCACCACTACACTGTACTGCTAAAGGAAGCATTTGAAAACCAGTGTACACATGCTCTTAACCAATATCTACATAGTGATGTCCATCAGTGAGCTGCTGTTCCTTTCTCCCAAATAGCAGTCTTAATCTGGCCATAGATCAAAATGTGTCCAGTCAGCGAGGAATCCTCCATCCACCCTTGTTTGTGTAGAAGGCAAAATCTTTTTTTTTTTTTTTTAATTATTTCTTTATCTATGACCAGCTGTAATCAAGCTGTATTTCTGTCTGCAGTGCAGAGGGGATAAATGGTCAGAAGCCAATATTTGGTGTATGATAGATGAAGAAACATTTTGCACATTTTTTTAGTAAGCAAGATACTTAAGAGGTGCGACCAAAGCTTTTGTGGCCATGCATCTCTTGTGGATCACAGGATTGCACTTACTTCTGCTCTCCTATGATCCAGAATCAGCCAACAGCCAGCTAAAGTTGGCTGTCGGCTAACGTTACAGAGCTATTTCAGGCTCTGGAAAGATCCTGACATCAGAATCTACCCGGATGTCTGATCGGTAGCTGGCCCAGCCTCTTGGCATGCTGGTGCTAAGACCCTGAACCAGCTACTCTCATCCCTCTCCTGCCTAAAGCTCCAGTGAGCACTGGAGGGGCAGAGCAGAGAACAGTGACTGACAGTCACTTGTCTTCTCAGAGCAGACTGAGAGCTGAGCAGTCAGTGGTCATGTGATCGCTTAGTTCTCAATCTTGGGGCATGCAGGGGACAGCTGCAGCATCACATGAATGCGTGAAAACATTGATTGCAATACACGTTACATATCACAATACACGTTACATATCGCCGCACACGCTGGAGAGAGAGCATTCATTCTAGCACAAGACCTCTGTAACACTAAACTGATGACCTGTAGGGGCTTTTAACTACCTGCCGACCGCAGATAGCCGAATGACGGCTGCACTGCGGCCGGCCAGTTCTGGGTGGACGTCATATGACATCCTCCCAGAACGCGCTCTCCTGCGCGCCCCAGGGGGCGCGCACCCGGCGATCTCCGTGATCGCTGTGTCCTACGGACACAGCTGATCACGTGATGTGGTAAAAGGCCAATCACAGCGGCCTTTTACCACGTGATCAGCGGTGTCCAATGACACGCTGATCAGAGGAAAATGCAAGTGCCGGTTCTCGGCTGCACTTTCCTCACGCTGTCAGATCGTGAGGAAAGTACTGCCGAGAACCGGCAGTTGTCAGAGCGGGGATCGGCACCGATCATCAGGGCACTGATGATCAGTGCCCTGATGATCGGTGCCCAGCAGTGCCACCCGCAAGCTCCGCCCACCTGTGCCCAGCAGTGCGCCCCTAGCTCCGCCCACCTGTGCCCAGCAGTGCACCCATCTGTGCCCAGCAGTGCACCCACCTGTGCCACTCTGCAGTGTCACACACCTGTGCCCAGCAGTGCCACCCACCTGTGCCCACCCACCTGTGCTCACCCACCAGTGCTGCCAGTCAGTGCCACCAGTCAGTGCCCAGGGGTTGTGCCAGTCAGTGCCGTCTATCAGTACCCATCATCAGTGTCACCTATCATCAGTGCCGCCTATCAGTGCTGCATATTAGTGCCCTATCCGCCTATTAGTGCTGTCTATCAGTGACACCTCATCATTAGTGCTGTCTATCAGTGCCGCCTATCCGTGCCACCTCATTAGTACTGCCTATCAGTGCCCTTTAGTGCTGCCTATCAGTGCCCCTATCAGTTCAGTGCTGCCCCATCAACGCACATCAGTGAAGGAGAAAAAATTACCTGTTTGAAAAATTTTATAATAGAAACAAAGAAACTTTTTTTTTTTTTTCAAATTTTTTGCACTTTCTGTATTTATAGCGCAAAAAGTAAAGCGCCCAGCGGCGATTAAATACCACCAAAAGAAAGCTCTATTTGTGAGAAAAAAATGATCAAAATTTCATATGAGTACAATGTTGCATGACCGCGCAATTGTCAATCAAAGTGCGGCAGTGCTGAAAGCTGAAAATTGGCCTGGTAAGGAAGGGGGTATAAGTGCCTGGTAGGCAAGTGGTTAAAGTGTTGCCTATAGAAAATATAGGGTACAGAAGTTTGTTGCCATTTCACTGGCGCACGCAAATTTGTGCATCTACTTTGTGCAGCCTTTTCGTCTTTTTATATTTTACCAAAAATGTGAGTAATTTTATTGCCTTTGCCCTCTAATTTACTTTAGTGTGTTTTATACTGAAATTTTGCATTTCCTAGACCTTTGCGGTAATATCATGTGACATTGGAACTGCCATTATTTTATTCTCTAGGGTGTCTGCTTTCAGAAAATATATAATGTTTGGGAGTGTTGTGTAATATTCAGGCCTAAAATGTTTTTTTAAATGTGTGCAAAAAAATGCAAAAAGGGCTCTGGCAGCGAAAGGGATAAAGGATAAACCTGATACTCCCCTTTCCTGACTAGCACCCAATTGGTGCTCATTACTGCAAGGTCTCCCCCTTCCCTGCTAGTCCCCGGGTGTGGTTTAATATATTGTATTTTTATTGCGTTTTTGAAATATTGTATATTAATTTTGCTACTTACTACTTGCAGATAGAAGGTAAAGCTATGTGCAGGTTTTGAGCTCTCTGAAGGGTTTCATCTAATAACTTGCCTTTTAGGGAGTTTAATGGATTGGGGACATTTTTGGTATTTGAAAGTAGCTCAAAATGAACACCAACATAATTGCTCTAACTTGTGTAAAAGCAAATTCAGAATGTATCACCATAGAGGCGCATAGGAAGTCTTGCACTTTTGGTTTATAATGCCACCTACAGAAGGATTAAACCCACATAATAAAAAAACGCAAATGTTTTATTGCATGCTGTCCATACTCACTCTCACTATGAGATTCATTTTCTGTATTTTGCAAAAAACCTGGTTGATCCTGCTGCTTTCTTCACTTTCTGTTCATGTCCCCAATTCAGTAATTTTGCAGCTGTAGTGGCAGCTCTGCACATGCTCAGTTTTCAGTGAGTTTCTATGCTGAGCATTTTCTCCCAATCACATCTGAGCAGCCCATGTGACTATAGAGTCACACGTGTGTGCGTATACACAGTGGTAAGTGACAGCCCATTTCCTCTCTCCTCCTTCATGCCCACTAACCAGCTAAACACAATGAAGGCAATATATTACATGTAGATTTAATGAAGGAATCACCTCCCTCTTATTCTAAAACTCCGGCTGGAGGGGTGTGATACAGCCTGTGACTGGCAGAAATTTGCCCACAGTATGCCAATTTAAGACTGTATATCGATTTTAAATTTTTTTACTCTTTATTCCAAAGGCTGTTTTATTTTGAGCATGTGACCAGCAGCAGAGGACTAGAAGCTCCTCCTGCTTATGTTTCCCTGCAGACAGGCTGGGAAAGATGTGGGTCATGTGACAACTGTATATTGATTAGGAAAAAGGTACGAAGTGTTTTTTTTTTTTTTTTTTATTAAAATACAGTTCCATCATCCACATACCAAAATAGAATGGGTAATGTAAATTTAACAGTGTGTTTAGTATCACTTTAATTTGGGTTTGGTCAATTCCTCTGCTTTCTTGGGTGAGGTTTGTACTACAATCTGATCTCATACCTTAGGTCCACTAGTTCTGTCAGTGAACTTCAAGGACTCTTACCTATGTGTCCCTATCTTTCCAGAACTTCAGGGTTTTCTATGCTTTGCTAGGAAGCCTCTACACTTGCAGTTAGTGGCTCTGCTCTTCAGCATGTCTTCTACACTTCAGATGTTCACAAACATGCTGGACCCAGTATTAGCCCTGCTGTGCTCAAGTATCATTCTAATCCAAAATACACTTCAGGCTAGAGTGTCCCTTCCACTGGGAAAACTTCAGGCTCTCCAATCTCAAAATTTAGGCTCTCCAGTCCGTAGTTGTTTGAGACTGTTTGTTTTGTTTTTTCATGAGAGTGGTCTTTGAAGCATTTCTGTTTAACTAGTTTCACTCTAGACCTCTAAAATGCAACAGCCTATCTTTGTAGGACATGTCAG